TCTGGGAGTTGAAGTCCACTCATCTTAAAGTGGCCAAGTTTGGACAACACTGCTGTATGCTGTAAGTTTTAACAGATAAGCTTTCACTTCTCATGAAGTGGATTCTTACCTTTAAGTTTCTGAAAGGCTTTTTGCTGCTGCATATTACAAAATGTCAACTGAGTGTTAAACTAGGTTGCTGCTGGAGACCGCATAGCTCTTTGCATCTACGAATGAACCTTTTGGACCACTGTGGCAAATAACAAGAAGGAGCTAAGGGGAAGGGTCTTTTCACATTGTCCCTGTGTTTGTTTCTCACCTGGGCTGCTGCTCCTTAAATGCATCATCTCTCAGAGAACAAGGAAATTCCCATTTACTTCCCTCCAAGATGTAATGTGGATATAAGTGAGACTCTTCTATCTTCAAGTATTTCTTGATGAATCTAGTTTATTTCAAATACAATGAGTGGCAGCTAGCATTCACTGACAGTTAGACTAAGTCCATACTTTGCATCCAAGAGACACTATATTATAAATTGTATTTTCTTTTTAATGGGACCTTCTGCTACTTACTTATTCACTTTTCTTTCAGCACTCTGCTTATGTTCAGAAGCATATCCTCTAGTAAGCAGTCCTGCTGAATTCAAATCTCCAACTGTTATAGAGTGCAGAATTGCTGGATTTACAAAAGTTACAATCAGGGCCCTTCCAAGCCCCCAATTTGCTTTAGCAATATTTTTAGGGACACTATGCCCTAATCAGATGTCACCTCTTGACTTATAACTGTTGTAGTTGTTCTTAGCAATTTCTTTGGAAACTCTTCCCAAATCATACCTAGACTGGCAATGGGAACAGCAGACTTCATGCTGACAGAATTTCCTCTGATTCAAAGCTGAGCAGATAACAATTCAGCAATAGGTAAAGGCATCAGTTATCTGGTTTCCCTCTAAGATAGGAGGTGACATGATTTTACACAATTTGAGGTGGACTGAGTTGGAATAATGGAAAAAACACTCTTTTAACACCCGTACGAGTAAGAATGAGTTAAGGCTATCTCAAACATGGGTTGGGGATGAAATGAAGTCAGCGTCATTGGCACCCAGTTGAAAAAAGATGCCGGCACAATGTGCTTGTATTATGAGTAGATGCTGAGTTGACGTGTTATCCACCCATCCTAGAGTTGGCTACTGGAGAACGTTACAAAAGGGTAAAAAGTATGCGCTCATTGGCTGGACCTGAACAAGGACATTCCACATCGTGATATATGTCATCAATTCCATACTCATCATTATTAAACATTACTGTGTTTAAAAAGGAAGATCCACTATTCCTCATTCCTTCTGCAGCTTCTTCACAATGTCACCAAGAAAAGCAAACTGTAGAAGTTTGTTATCTGAAGACTGGAAATATAATGATCTGCTGAATTTTACAAGCTGAAAAGTTGCCTGGCGTGATGATACTTATAGGAGGGGAAAGTTTACTAAATCATAAAGGTAAGGGGCGTTGTAGCTAAAACAAGAGGATTTTATTCATTTATTGGTTTAGGTTATTTGAAACGTGCTGTCCAGCTAAAAAGGTTTCTAAAGTGGGCCGTGGCAAAAAGTTTCCTGCCACTCATGTCTCTCTAAGCCTATTGTTTGGCATTTCAGCGTCCCCTTGAGTGGGTTGGAAAGTTGACATCCTTGTGCAACATCTGTAATATATTGCAGATTCATACAGCTAATGAAAAGTTCCCAGTACTAGCATGACTCCCCACTATGTAGACTCCCCCCTGACTCATGCAGCACCCAAGCAGTGAACTGTTCGTTTTGCCATAGTCAAACTTTGTCCAAGTGTAAGTTTCCTGTGCATGTCTCACCACCAGTATCAACTCAGATCTCAACTTGTTCCTCTACCAACTCCCCATGCCACCTGCGTATCCATAGAGTTTCCCCAAGATTCTCTAATCTCAGAAACATATTTTTCCATGGAAGTGCAGAGAGAAGGAACGGATGGAAAAGCAACTGCAGAGCTAGCCCAAGACATTTTGCTACCCAAGACAAAGGGCAAAATGAAATGTGCTTGCCCCACCTCCCCCCACCCCTTTCCATGTCTAGAAGCAGGTGGGTGCTTTTTTTCCCCCCCTACCTGGGAACATGACATGTCTTTCACTGCACCTGAAAGCAACTAGCTAGCCTGGAAGCTTTGGAGAAATGCTAGATATTTTGGCATCTGCTACCTAAGGAAGCAGTAGCATTTTGCCTAGTGGAAGGACTAGATGGAGAGTTGGAATTCATTGCAGATCATTGATTGATTATATGCCATCAACCCGGTGTTGATTCTTAGCCACTGCATAAATACAGTACCAGGTGTAGCCTCCGTTCTGCTATTGAGTAATTTCTGTTTTAGCAGATTCCAAGTTTTTGTGTTTAAATTAAACAGTATTTCTTTGAGATTTACTTATTCAAAACTTGGATTTGCCATCCTAGCTGGTTCCATTTGCTCTATAGACTGCCCTGGTTCGATTTCTGGCTAGACCATTTCCTTAAACTTAAGGAATCCTGCAACTGTCCTTTTAAAAGAGCTATGGATTTGGGGCTACATGACAGATGGAGGCAAAGGATCCGAAGGAGGATAAAATAGTTACACTAATAGAAAGGCCCAGTTAATTGTTAAGGAGATTAGAAGCTGGACCAAAGAGGCATTCAGCTCGAAGGTGACCTACCGCATGGAATCAGAGAACCGTGTAACTTTACACAGGGGCAAAGAGGAATAAATCCTCCGTTGAGGAAATCAACCAGGAAGGCAGCAGGTTTGGTTGCAAGGTACCATAGCCCTGATATGTGAAGGAGTTAGGGGTCTATGAAACATTTAGAGATACTGAGACTGCAAAGGAAAAGAGACGTAGCTATAGTGCAGAACACCACTAATGTAGAATACAAGATACCACTGAAGAATACAGCTGATCAAAAGGCCATTGTGTCATCTGTCAACCCCCTTTCATTGTAGCTTTTATGTAGAAGCTCCACTATTGGTTACAGGAGGCTGGCAGCTCACTGAACGCTTTGTAATCCTAGCTGTACTAATTAAGCAAGGCTGCTGCAGTGCTAAGTGTGTACTTTTTCTGAACATTCTCCCCCCATCCCTGCTGTGCCATGCAGAGGAGGAGGAGGAGGAGGAGAAGTCACTGTGAGCAGTGCAGGAGAGAGCAATGCTGCCAGCGAGAGGAGGTGCGGAGGGCGGGGAAAAAGTAATGAACGAGACTGGTTTTATGGGCTTTAGATTAGGTGAAGGAAGAGCCGGTGCAGAGAGACCTGGAACTAGGGCATTTGCACGTCACTGTGGCTTTGACTGAGATGTAAATGTTCATTTGTGCTAATCCAGATTCCTCAGTTGTGAGGCTGGGCATACATTCACACCTAGTTTTTTACAATAAGGACTGGGAAAAACTTGACTTTCACCCCAATCTTTAGGACTGTTTGCTGTCCAGAGTGAAGATGCCAACAAATGGGATCCATCAGGCCTTGAAGATCCAGTTTGGCTTAATCAACTCTGATAATCGATATTTAACAGCAGAGCACTTTGGCTATAAAATCAATGCCTCGGCATCAAGCCTGAAAAGGAAGCAAATATGGAGCCTGGAACAGGATGGAGACAGCTCGGTGGTCTTCTTGAAGAGCCACCTAGGTAGGTACTTGTCTGCTGACAAAGATGGCAAGGTCTCATGTGAAGCTGAGAAGCCAGAAAGTGATGGGTGTTTTATCATTGTCACTCAGTCAGACGGACGCTGGGCACTCCAGTCAGAACCATACAAGCGCTTCTTTGGTGGTTCTGAAGACAGGCTGTCCTGTTTTGCCCAAACCATTACTGAAGCTGAGCTTTGGGTTGTACACTTGGCCATCCACCCACAAGCTAATCTTTTGAGTGTTAGCAGGCGAAGATATGCACACCTCAGTGCCCAAGAGGATGAGATCTCTATTGACAGTAACATCCCCTGGGGTGTGGGTTCGCTTATTACACTTACCTTCCAGAATAAGAAGTATTGCCTACGAACCTGTGACAATCGCTACCTCCGCAACAATGGTATCTTGGTCAAGGAACCTGACCGCCATACAGGTTATACCCTGGAATTCAAGGCAGGCAAGTTGGCCTTCAAGGACTGTGATGGGAAATATCTAGCACCCATGGGACCTACTGGCACTCTAAAATCTGGCAGGAGTTCCAAGCCAGGCAAAGATGAGCTCTTTGATCTGGAAGAGAGCCATCCACAAGTAGTTTTCATGGCTTCCAATGGCAGATATGTCTCCATCCGTCAAGGTAATAAATCCATTCCCTTCTGCTTTGTGGGACAGCCAGGCAATGCTTCTCTCCTATTTCAGTAACAAGCTTATATGTGCCTTATCATTTTTTTACCTTGTAAATGGGAAATGTGCTTGTGCTTAACCATGGCTGACTGCACAATAGGAGTAGTGGCAGTACTTGTCATAGTTTCTGAAGATGATTTGGCATTTGATTTTCTAGACATTTTCTGCAGTCATCCTCCTGTCCTTCATTACATCTGTGTACTTGAATGGAAGGGACAGAACATTTTATTTCTGCAAGTATATAATCATGTTTCTTGATTTTCATCAATACATTGACTGGTACATGAAATGTGATAAACTATGACATGGAATGTTTGGCATGTTGTTTGAATCCAGTCAGTGTAAATTATGGTTTACAATGTAACCAGATGTGTGAACCCTGACACTTGTGGGCTTAGTCAACAAATCATAGCTTTAATATGATGTATGAATGGGGCTGGTGTCTGAGCTGTGAAAGATATAGATTACCTCAGTTGTACAAAGGGGATTTGAATCCAAGAGGTATTATCAGTAAGAGCTGGGATGGGATTTGAGAATGAAGGACATTCACCAAAGTGAGCAGCCGTAGAGTATCTTGGAGCTTTGTTGCAACTGTCAGCTAGATGTGTGTTCAACTGAAAGTGTCTCTAGCCTATGCAATAATTTTAGGAATTCCATGTATTAGTTGGCATTTCTACTGCATATGCCAGTGGTTCTGTTGGTTCTTTGACAAGAAAGAAACACGCTGAGTCCTGCCACACTGAATTATTCTGAATTACAGTGATAAGCTGTTGCAATGTGGGTTAACACAGCCCACTTCAGCCTCACCTCAAGTGGCTTACACCTGATTTTGGAACTCTCAGGACTTACTGGGAACCTGGTGAGGAATCAGTCTCTCCAAAGGCAAGACAAAGGATAGGAAAACATGTGCAGGAGGAAAAGAGCTTGTTTTCTGGTGACGGCAGAGCAGTTGGAGTATTGCCTGCCTTCAGTGAGTGGCCACCAGATTGCAGGCTTCTGTGTCTGAATGAAGGGATTGCTGTCTAAAATAGGTGAGAGGTTTTCTCTGTGTGTAGTGGATCTCATTAGCTGGCCTCTGTTTCTGTCTAGACACAAGAGACTGAAAAAGCAAATAGAAAATATAGAAAATAGAGGCGTTCCTCAAAGTGCCTGAGAACCTGATTGAGAAGTGGCAGTTTTCAGAGCCGTTGCTAAAGGATCTAGGGTCTGAAGTGTTTGTGGTATACAAGAAATACTTCTCAAGTACATTGAGGCTCATCTCTCCCTCTTTGACACACAAAAGAGTGGCCCATAAGGAAAACAAATAAGACCCTGGATATCACCCATCTAGTATGTCATTCTTTGCCACGAGCCTTGTTGAATAAGTGTGATTTGTACAACAGCTGTCCCACAGCTTCCATAAATTTCAGCAGCACACAGCACACAAAAGAGTGGCCCATAAGGAAAACAAATAAGACCCTGGATATCACCCATCTAGTATGTCATTCTTTGCCACGAGCCTTGTTGAATAAGTGTGATTTGTACAACAGCTGTCCCACAGCTTCCATAAATTTCAGCAGCACACAGGCAGGGAATATGTTCATTACCTTTAATTTACTTCTGTGCCATTAGGCAGTAGTACTTAGAGCATATCTTCCAATCCATTCATTGCTGATTTTAATCAGTCCAGTCAGTTCAATGAGACTTGAGAGCAACTTTCTCTGTCTCATCTAGTTGGTCTCAGATCTCACTCTTTTCAGGTTATCTGTGTTGGGTGCTGTCCATCAGTAAGATTCAGAGTTTGTCAGCCATAAAATGCGGGCTCCATTCATTTTCCACTTTTGCTGTGCAAATTCTTCAGGATGAATCTGAGCCTGTTATTTAGTTCTTATCCATCTATCCTGTGGACACATGATAATTATCTGCTTAAATATACAGTAAATTGCCCAGCATTATTGAAAATGCTTCCCCCTTCATCTCTGAGCTGAATTTTGGGGTACGAGAAAGCAACGCCCATGCGGTAACTTTTTCATATGGCTGCAGGCCTGACCCTTATGCAGTTGTGGTAATTTCATTGATCATCCAGACAATACTGGTGCCTTTTAGTCATCAACCCATAATTTATCTCTCCCTTGTATGGCTTCCATCCTGCTACTCACTTTAACAAAAATAATCTGTTTAAGAAAAAATACTGCAAATAGAAGCAAACGCTTTGCAGCTATAGATGTACCACAGTGCTTTAAAAAAATGTGAGGGAATGTGTTGTGAACAGTGAAATTATCGCCTATACTTCATCTCATGTCTTCCTCATTACTTCCCCTGAACATTCAAGATGCTATGAACAACGGAACACACGTCTCTTGTACTGTGTGCATATCTCTTTGTTTTGTTTATTTCCCCTTTCCTGGAATCCCAAAATTTTAAAAATCCAAAATGCCATTATGAAGCTAACTCTGTACCTCACCTGCTTATGGCTCATCTTTTGTTTTCAAAGCAGAAGGGATATTTTTCTGTGGGTGCCCAGAGGTGGGCAGTCTATCTGAAAACAAGTGTTCCTAGTAAAATCTTATTCCCACATGCCCATAGGACAACACTATTCCTCCAAGGGAAACAAGCGTACAGAGCAACCACACAATTTCCAGCAGATCATGTTTGAAGCACTCTTGTCTATGGACAATTTCTTTCCACATTAATATGGCTTAGCTGACCATGTGGATGCTGTTATTAAAAGTTTCATTACAGATACCAGCTTATTTTATTGCTATTTCCCAGGAAAATCAATGCTACAAAAGAAGAGCTTTCTGCCAAGGAGGATAGTAATTTAAGAATGTTTTGTACTTTTGGAATTTGGTCTTTCTTTTCACAAAGAAACCCCACATTCAAAGAACCTTCATACATGGAATTTTCCTTTGTGCTTTCTTCCTCACTTTTTTTGATGGAGAAGAACATCTTACGGTGAGTGGAGAATCCAAAATTGTGCCCCATTAGGACTGGTGGGTTGCAAGCTGAAAACTACACTTTGATCACCCACAATAACTGAACAATAATTATCTCAATTGGTTAGCCTAACAGCAGCATGGACAGTAGGGTGCATAAGACTATTCTGTTTCCAGTCTGATGCCAGCTTTTATGCTTATCCTACCCTTCTGCTATCACAGAATTCCATGACACAACCCTGAGTTTTTCCCATCCCAACACTGAGAAAATTATCTGTCATTTCGTGTGCAGAAGAGAGATAGAAATACAACAATTTAAAACCCCCAAAGCTGGCAAAGGTATTCATAATCACATTGATATGAATGTCCTCTTGCTATCAGTCATCACCATCCTCAAATATCTGATTGTGATTTTCAAACTTTAAAGTTTGAAAAGCAGGAAGAAATTAAGCAAGTGATTTTTTTTGTGACATGAAGATCAAAGGGCGAGAAATCTGCTTAATTTCTGATGTTAGGATTCGGTTTTAATGGTGTAAGAGCAGGAGTTGACAAAAAGTAGGATCCTGTCTTCTCCCCCAAGATATGGTGGAATGATAAACTCACACAGAAATATGTATGAAAAGTACAGGAGGGAGAAAGCAGTCTTTGACTACTGTATAATTTAACCCTTCCACTTTCTGTATTAAAGTAGCAAATGCTCAGGTAATCCAGTGGATGCTTTCCTTGAACAACGTTCTAGACCTTTGCTACTGTGCTATAGTCTGCACCTTCTCTGTCACAACAGTTAGAAAAATATTTTCTTATTGTCCCTGTAGTTTATGAAAAACAATTGCTGTTTGAATAGGTGAATTTATTTAAACACGTAACAATGTAAATTGTCCATTCTTTGGCACCTAAAAAGAAAGACTAGTTAACAATTTAAAACGATAATAACTGCAGTCATATTACCAGCAAACCAAAGGAATCATATATTGATTTAAATCTGCTTGGAAAGGGGCAGATTGCTCTTTTCCCCATAGAAAAGTGAAACATACATGTATCATTATTCTTCTTAATGTTGTTGCAAGAGTTCAGGCTTCCTGAGATGAAGTTAGCACATCTCTTTTTCTGACCTTTTGGCCAGTATAAAACAAGCTGAAATTCCATGCTTAAAGCCCCAGCTGTACAACCAGAATACATAAGGTATATAAGATTGCCAATTTCTGAATCAAGAGTCCAATAATTACCCTTTCATGGCAGTGATGTATGGCAATTCACGGGAAATAAAATATTATTTTCTGCATGAAAAGAAATTATTTGCTGGTTTCTGCACACAAAATCCTCTGTGAGTAACGGTTTACATATTTTATTCTATTCAAATGGTTTACATATTTTATTCTTACATTTCCTGAACATGATATATGAATGAGAAAATTAAGAAACGATCTAGGAGGACCACTATGTATATTAAATATTGAAAGATAAGACATGAAAGCCAAAAGCAAAAAAGGAAATATACACCCCACAATTTCTTCCCAGTTCTAATCTGAGCTCTAAAGAAAGAAAAAACCTACTGCAGACAGTCCTATGTTTTATCTTGTTCTTTGTAGAACTATATAGTTCATGAGGCCTAAAATCTTACTTTTAAAAACAAGAGAAACAATGGAAATCAGTAGATATTCGGGGGGGGGGGGGAAACTACACTGAAAGTTTAGATCCTGAGACCCTTAGAGGTTTCTTGATTACAGAGCTCAGATCTGTAGCAAATGCTACCCCTGGTTCCTCTCTTTGGTTCTAGTGAAGGCACGAATACAGTAGTTCACTCGGTTTCTGAGGTCACATTCACATGTCCACTTTGCACTTAATTCACATGGGTGCCACGTCCCTGGCTTCCAATGTTGTCCTCTGTCTGCAGCAGCTGAGCCAATTAACTTCTGGCCGAGGTGTGATGCAGGACGAATAGCCGTGAAGCAGAGTTTTTGGGGTTGGTGTTGAGCAGGATGGTTCCCCCATTGGCAAGAAACCTTGCCTTATCCAGCCTCCCAGCTTCCTGACTCTT